TCTCTTTGCTTGCAGATTTCTTATATATTTTCTTCTACCCTGAAGATGGAGGCGATACGTTCCTCCGAAACGTCGGTTAACACCACATATACATGGTGCCAAATCCCAGAAGACTGCCTTCTTCAACCCTATTGTGTGCATATTCATTGCTGCAGGAAGGTGTTCACTGAGCCATTGCCCAGAAACAGTGGTTGTTTATAGAGTCGTTGCTTAGCAACATGTCTATATCGTAACCGATCGTTACCTAGTGGCCTAATTTTTAAATTTAATACTCAGGACTTAATACCATTCTCGTACTAAATATGACTTATACTCAGTTTTGTATTGATTCTAAGAATTTGCAGCATGGAATGTTTAGATAAGAGCTACTAGAAAGATCTTTGACAGCCGGTGCAGCATATGAACTGCTTACCTCATCCCACTAGCCTACTTAAAGAAACTTCCAGAATTTTCTCAATCTGTAGAACAGTGTGGGAGCTTTGAGAATTATCTGGAAGTGGAAGGTTCTGGAATGTTATGTCATTGCATATTTTTTAAAGAACAGATTTTGGATGACAGAATATAGTATGGCAGATTGTCAGAGTGTAATATTCAGCATGTATATACCACAGTAATACAATAGCACCACTGTATAGTAATATTCAGTGTGTGGCATTTATACTATCAAGAGTAGTCACTGTTTCTATCAGGTATTGTGCACAGTTGCATACAGAACAGTTGTTCCCATGACCTAAATGACTGATTTGTAAAATTGTGTAGTGCTGTCAAAATAAATCAAGTACATCATTTCATCAACTGTGATCCACAGACTTCTTGTGCAAAACCTCTCTCATTGGAGCGTGGCCCATAGGGCTCTGAAGAGAATCTCATGCTCACATCCAGAACATCATTCCCCTTTCCTGCCCTCAAGTCTTCCGTCGTGGGTCTAAGACCACATGGCATCCACGACACCTAAAACAGAGGCTATGACATCGAGGGCGCAAGTAAGAGAACTGTTAAAATATGCCACAATATTTATATGCAAAATATTTTAATATTCGTTTATAAGAAAGTTGAATAACATGAATACAATTAGATGATGACGATGATGACTCTCTGAGACAATATGTGTTCCATTGCCCAGATGTTCATGGTAGGTCACGGAAATCTTCTGGAAGATCTGTGCAACTATTTCCAAAGTTTACCACTGACGGATCATATTCTGTCCCTAAAAAGGGTGAACCTTCTTTATTCCAAGCTTCTTTCAGAATCTTCTCTGTTGCCTATTAGTAGAGATTTTGAACAACATTCATTAGATGGCTGTACTCATATGTTCTGGCTGCTGTATTTCATATTTGGGTACATACTGTGAGTGAGGGACTTAACATGGTAAGTAAAAGTAAAGCTATCCCTGTACCAGGCCGTGAAGACCCATAGGGTTGTGAGACGTTGAGGGTCCCACATTATCTTGACAATTGGCTCAAAGATGGCCGTATGGTTGTCAGCCTTACGCGCCGGCTGCATTTTACTCCCCAGGAAAATTATTTAATTAATTCCTGGTACTCATTTCTGTTAGAGGCTGAGTAAACCCCAGGGGTTAGTGCAGCTGGAAAGATTAGGTCAACTGAAAAAATCCAATGACCTCGTCGGTATTTGAACCCGCAACCTTCCGGCTTGTAGCGTAGCCCCTCAACCACTACACTACCGCGTGCCCCTGACTTAACATGGATCAATTAAAATTATGTTCTGTTTAAAAAATCTTTTATATTGATACCTTTATATGAAATTTCATTACAACATACTGACATCATAGAAGGAAGTCCCATGGATCAACCCCTTCTGCATTTCTGTCAAGCTGTTAGCTTAGCCCCTCAAGTATACTTCTCTCCTGTCATCTACAGCCCTTCTGTTTACGTGAATGTTGGCAAAGATACCATTTCACTAGCATCAAGCACTTCTGGCTGGCTAAGATACACGGGGCCAAAGGAAAATACAGTACAAGGCATGCAGAGGGAAGCTACAAGTGCAATCATCCCCACCTCCTATGGGACTTCCTTCTATAGCCTCATTATATGTATTTTCTTTCAATATTCCCTAGCAATGTGAAATTACTTTCAATTATATGGCTGTAATTAACACAGATAATTATCATGAAATACTCATTTAAAGTTCCTGCATTCAGTGACGTCCTGTATTCAGCAACTATGTATGTTCTCTGGTTCTAGCCAAAGCCCAATATGATCATGTATTATCTTTTTTATTCTGTGAATTTTTACCTGGGAAATAACCTACTCTCTTCCCCCCCCCCTTGGCATTACAGCCCCAGTGGGCCTAGGACTACCTCCATGAACCTCTCCGTTCACTCGGTTTTTCTAGATCTTACACATTCGGTAGGACTCCTTGGGTGGGTGATCAGCTCGTCGCAAGGCCTCTACCTGTATACAAACGCAGAAAAAAGCACACACACAAACTAAACATCCATGCCCTGAGTGAGATTCAAACCCACGGTCCCGATTTCCAAGCGAGCGAAGACAGTACATGCCTTAGATCGCTCGGCTACCATGACCGGCTATAACCTACATTTAGTGTAGGAAATTTCTGAACTTCCACAACTCATACCTCAATTTAGTGTGGTCGTGGTTCAAATACAAGTAACATCCAGTATTTATGTTCTCCCTGATAGAAATCATCAGACAACAATAAATGTTGGTGGATGACATTCATACTGCATCATGCCCCTTCATGAGACTTACCTTGATTCTTGCCTGACATTCTGTCAGTGTTAATTTCATGTATCAATTATTTTAGAAATTTATTTGATGTTGAGCTTGAGGTTCTCACAGGGTGACTAGGCAGAATGCCATCTTATTGGACATAATGTTGTGCAGTCTAGTATAAGTTCATGGTGATTTTGGAGGAACATGCTGCCTCCATCTTCAGGGTTAAAGACTAAGCCTAATGTGTTATCAGCAAGAAGCAGGTAATTTGGACTGTGGTACATTGGACACTACTAGGCAAAATATGCTTGCCACCTGCTTCTTGCTGGTTACTTGCTTGGCTTACCCTTTGACCCTGAAGATGGATGTAGTACGAGTACTTTCTTAACTTCTACCAGACTACACTCCCAATTACATCCTAGAAGACAATAACTCTTAACCTGACATGCATTTATTTGTGCAGAAAGGTTCTTCAACTACTTACATAAATATATTTTTATTATAGTTTCATACAGCAAGTCTCATAAGAAGATTAACAGTTTCTTGGGGGCATGCGGTGGCACAGTTGGTTGAGGCACTATGCTACAAGCCGGAAGGTCATGGCTTCGATTCCTGATAATCCTTCCAGCTGCACTATGGCCCTGGGGTCGACTCAGTCTCTAAGAGAAATGAGTACCAGGAATTTTCCTGGGGGTAATGGGCAGCTGGTGTGTAAGTCTGACAATAACACAGTCATCCGTGAGCCGATTTTCTAGAAATTGTGGGAATCTTGACATCTAACAACCCTATGGGTCTCCATGGCCTCTTAGAGGGATAGCTTTAACAGTTTCTAGAAGCAATGCATAACTACCATTAAATGAACCCCTTAGTTAGTTAGTTATTGGAGAGGGTGGGTTTCCCCCTGCACTTAGACCTGTATTGGTCCATTGTGCTTCCCTCTATAATTTCTACCAGTCTCTATATCCTACTGGTACTGGTGCTTACCATTAGTCCCGCCCAGCCAGCGAGACTGGCTCTACTAGCTGAGAGGTATCTATAATGCTTCCCCCATCTACCAGAGGTATTAGAGACTGCTGTTGGGCGAGAAACGTCCATAATTTGGCTCAGTGACCTCCTTTGGAGATATGAGGTTCTTTTACGTGCTGTAAAGTTACGACACGGGACCCACGGCTTAAAGTCCCTCCCGGAGGACTTGTTCCCTGAATTTTTCCGCCCTTAAAAATTCGACGACCTCCACTGGGTATTTTAACCCGCATACTACGAGTCATGAGGTGGGAACGTTACCTCTAGACTACAGAGGCCGCTAAATGAACCCCTTAATCTAACATCATAAAAGCTATTCCCTGCGAGATTCATTAAAAAGGAATTTAATTGTACTTCTATCAGACTACACTGCATTAACATCGCAAAAGACACTGCTGACAGCATCATATCTTACAGACAAGAGACTACTAGCCTGTATCACATTCATAATGGTACCTGAAGAGCAATGACTTACCAGCTGATCAGATGTTGGCAGTCCTTGCCGTCTTCGATCCTGGTTCCACATGAATTCCTGAATTTTCATCTGCTCGTCCTCTGCGAGGTCGTTAATGGGATTGGTAGCATCTATATTTGAGAGGTCAATTTTTTCTTCTGACATCAGCAATGCATCCCACCAATTCTCTATACTTTTCTGTAGATACACCTATAATATAAGACTTACTAGAATGATCTCTTAATAATACTCACATTTTAATAATTTAATTTAACAAATTCATGCTACAAAACAACCTGTTTATGAAAATACACGTAGCTACAAATATTTTGCAGATGATATATTGAAAAATTTCTGGCTACAGATCCAGAGGTCCAGGTTTGAAGTAGGGAGTCTGGAACAGGGTCCACTCAGCCTCATGAGGATAACTGACACCCTCTATCCACTAAAGTTGGCACTAACTTCGCTGACAAGAGGCAGTTGCTTGGTTGGTATAGTTCACTTGCAGACTAAAACCACGGAGTTTCTTTTGATATATTGAAAAAGGCATTTTAATCTTGCTTTTAATGCCCTGAATTCTTTTAATATCATGGCTTCTGCCCACATGGCAATTTATGTATGTATGTATGTATGTATGTATGTACGTATATTTAAATCCATTTAGGAAGTAAGATGAACCATTTTCTACCAGTGATAGGATATGAAGATGATGACAACAAGGGTCTACTGTTTAATAAAGATTTCAGTTAATGGTGGGGGACTGTTATTCACTGCAACTGCAAGGATTTTATTATGGGTGAGAAATTGGGAAGACAGGCAGGAAAATCCATAATGGAGCCTGCTAGTCTCAAATGGCATGCATGCCCACTGATTGACCTGTAAAACTCCAGGGCCCAATACTTGTAGACAAGTGGTGTGTTTTTATGTGAGAGCTGTACAAATGGAACCAATCTGAGGATAGGTCTGGATGAAGGAGTATATTCCATGGGCACTGAAGCAGATATCTCACTGGTGATCAAACTGATGGATCAACTCCTTGGGCTGTTGCTAGAACCACTGCACCACCACAGCCTCAATATCTTCATCTAACCTCAATCTAGACTCCACTGATGCTGACATTCACGAGCCTTAACATCACTACTGTTGCACAGTGTTAATGCAGAACCCTTGGACACCGTCACACCAACATCATGTGAAAACATCCCAACATGCTCACAAGCAGTGTGACCATGTTTGACAATGACGCCTCTTTCCACAGCACTCCATGCTCTGGAAGGTGTTTCACCATATCCCGTACAGCAAAGAGCTGCTATCACATATTCAGCCCCATTTAGAAAGCGTTAAAGTGCCATAGTTCTAAATCAAAGACGTCAAGATCATGATGGTGCAGTGGTTCCAGCTCTGGGAGAGTGATGTGGAGGTGATCCATGGGTCAGTGAGTTAGTGGGATACCAGCTTCAGAACCCATGGGGATTATTTCACCCAGATCAATCCTGGAACCAGTGACATTGCAGAAACCTTTGTAATTGTGCCTTCCAGACAAATACTGTATTAATAAATTAAACTAAATAATTAACCAACTCTATGGAGCAGTGTCTGTCAGAAATGAATAATCACTCAGGTAGTCAAGAAATTCCTGTCTTCTATAGAATCAGATGGTTTATTGAGATGTTCAAAGAAGCCTGCTAAAGTATAATTCTGAATGATATAAATTCAAGATTATCCATAAAAGTAAAAAAGTAAAGGTATCCCTGTAACAGACCGTGAAGGCCCATAAGGTTGAGATATGTTGAGGGTCCCACATTATCTAGACAATCAGCTCACAAATGGCGGTTAGGTTGTCAGCCTTACGCACTAGCTGCACTTTACTCCCCAGGAAAATTATTTAACTAATTCCTGGTACTCATTTCTGTTAGAGGCTGAGTCGACCCCAGGGCCATAGTGCAATGGAAGGATTATGTCAATTGAAAAAAATCCAATGACCTCATCGGGATTTGAACCCGTGACCTTCCAGCTTGTAGCACAGTGCCTCAACCAACTATGCTACCACGTGCCCCCCAAAGATTATCCATACCTGGCTAAAATTAAGCATGCACTGATAAATTAAAGGGTTAATTATAGAGCCTTCTAGAAGTAAAGAACTATAATTACCTGCTGCTTACCTGAATACATCTGCCAGGTTCAAGATTCCAAATGGATTCATGTTTGTTAGTTCGCTGGCACAGCTCACCATCCATTAAAGTTTTCCATTCCCCAGCCTCTTTTCCTTTCACTGCCACACTTAGAGTTGTGGCTGTTATGTTTACACGCACATCATGAGCCTTAGTTACGTATTCTGGCACTGGAACCTGGCAAATGCAAATGATCAAGACCAGAGAACTGTACTTTTAACAAATTATGCAAAGGGGACAGTCAGAATTCACTACCATGTAATTTGGCTATCAACTGATATTCATAACATTTTAAAAGTTGGGCATCAAAGCATCATTTCATATCGGCAGATGTGAATATTGTCACGTGTTGGGTGTATAACGCGACAAATAACTTCACGCCGTATTTGATATAGCAAATTTTATTTCACATTCGCACTTACAATCACCCAAATTACAGATTCACAATTACTGCTATCTGCAGTATCACAAATACTACACTCCAAATGCCAGAATGCAACTGACTGGTTGCTGGCTAACTCGGAACTCTCTCGGAACTAACTCGTAGGTAGCTCGAGGACTAACTGTGAATAGCCTTCGCTGCTCCTTATGTAGCCTCGCTCGGACAATACAGAAAACGGCCACATAATAGGCACCACTGTTGTCTGGTGCCGTCGTGCTAGTAACGCTGTGTACCGCTGTTACTACCATCGTCTCTCGCAACCACTGTTTACCCGCGCTGCCGAGCAACCGCGGTACCCCTTGGTGACATCACCGCTGTTGACTTGCATTGCATAGCTACCAGGATGCTGGGACTCGGCTAACATCGGCTCTGCTCGGCTCACCTCGGCTGGCGTGGGGGAGGCGTCATCCATAGCTCAACATGTCACAATATATTATTTTGTAATTATGACATTACTATCTTAGATGTGCTTCTTTTTCTACCACAGAATTTCATATAATATCCTCTCCATAATGAAAAGGGTAAATAATACTTACTACTAAAGTTCTTGCATCATATCAAGCAAAATAACAGAAACCAGATTTTAACGCCAAATTGGGGCTGTGGAAATTTAACTCCAACATCAGTGTGCTGTGACTATAATAATTAGAAACTAAACTGGAGAAAATGTTATATAATGATTCTGGTGCAATTATTTAACTTAGACTAAAAATCAGTCTACTGGGAGGAACAATGCAGTCGTTCCAATTATTATTGTTATTGGATACTATTCTATAACCCTGATAAAGTTTTAATACTGACATCAGGAAAGACATGTTTATTTTTTTAATTTACCTGAATAAATATTCCACTTAAAACTCCAACTTTATTGCTTGCATTGAAGTATAATAGTTTAAAATTAATGGTAGTTCATTGTGCAAAGAGAGATTACAATTTGGGGGGGGGGGAAGATGAACAGAGTAACGGATATATAAAATACTGCATAGAATAAAGATTTAGAATTACAATAAAGGAAAATATGGCAGTATAATACAACTATAAACTGAAACATTCATTGCTGCAATCCATGAAATAATTAAGAGATGATAATACTTGACTGTTGTATAGTGCTTTCTGATAAAGACTGTTCCATCAGAATTTGAAGCAATTATTCAAGATGGCCTATCATAATAGAATATGCATACTCATTAACATCATAAAAACAGCAAGTTCATTTAAACTGACATTCATTCAATTTCCATCTGCCCAATTGATTTTAATATTATACTTCTGTGTATATTTCTATCTTTCCCGTGGAGTTTTCTAACCGCTATTTTGTATGCCTATGTTGTTTCCTCATGCATGCAACATATTCCACCCATCTTAATCACCTTCATGTAATCAAACAAAACCAATTATCTCTTAAAACTAATTGTTCTCCATTTATAAAGATGCAAACAATTACAGCTTTGACGTATCCATTCATTCAAATCCATTAACACTGTGGGGACATCCCACATAGCACGCTGTTTCCACCAGTCTTTTAGGCAACACTCACTCCTTCGTGAATATCGCATTGCCGGACGTCTCGTTCATATTTATACCACCACGCACTGCAAATTTCTGCTCCTCATTTTCGCTAGCCAATCAGTGCTCTGCAAATTGTTGCTTCTCAATTGCAAGTTTTGCTCTGCCCACTGAGCATTGTATAAAAGGCGGAGCACAACGCTCGCAAGTCAGTCAGTTCTCAATCAGTTCATCAGCAGTCTTCAAGCAGTCCACAAGCAATCAGCACACTTTGTCGCCAGCGCTCGGTCTACGGAGGCATCGGCGCTTCGCTGCTCCAGGCATGACTGCCATGGCTGTCCGGCGGTTGCACCCGACTCACTGGGCAACTAGGCCGCCTCGATTCGCCGGTAGTCATGTCCGACACACTGGGCAACTGGCGTAGCTACCACCTCTCCACTCCAGCGACCACGCTCGACGACCAGACTTCTGCCAACAGCTGCCACGCTGGGATCAAGCAACCTCCACCATCTGCCTCACTGCGATCAAGCAACGGCCGCACTGTGGCCAGTCCACACACTGCAACCAACATCCTTTCCTATTGGCGCGCGCCGCGCTACTTCACTAGCCAAGCATCTCAGCAACCACGATCCTTTTCAGGACCTACAAACTGTTCCGAAGAAGTGGGTTGTCATTGAAGTGACGACAAGACACGAAAACGCCACAACACAATAAATAAATAACTTCAAAGAATAAAACTCATTTCAACCTGGATATCCAAGTCAACAAGGCTCTGTGACCATCTATAGTTGTCTAGAACTGCCCCATTGTAGCTGTCCCCTGCAATCTGAACTCCTGGTTGTTTACAATTATTCCTGGAAACAATGTGCAAGCCATGAGATTATGTTCCTGAAATGTTAATAGAATATATCCTAACTCTTAAACAAACTGGCTGAAGAAGTAATGCTTCACACATATATTCAGGAAGTGACCAGTTTCAATCTTGATCAGGACACTACTATCCTGACTGAGGTTTCTGTGGTCCTCCTCAATTCCTTCTACCAAATTCTGGTATAGTATCCTAAATTAGGATATGATGCCTCCTTCCATATCCTTTCCAACTCAATATTTACTATCATCCTATCATTTTACACTACACAGTCTGAGTTACTAATAGCACTGTTAAATAAACTACAAATAAATAAACAGATATATCTTGACTTCCTTATAAAATCCAAAATACTTCTGTTACTCCATTAAAACAATTACAGAATTAACATACCTTTTGACACAATAGAATAACAATTATTCCTCATAAACTCAAGTGAACAGAGTGAAAATGAATCCTTTCATAAGATTTAAAAGTTCATGACAATGATATACGAATACAATTATCAATTTTTATAATATTATCCAGTGTTCTGTATTTTATTTAAAAACAGGATGATCAATAATGTCCAAAGTCAATAACTGTATTAATATAACATTGCCACAAACTTTTAGATCTTATTATCAATCATCCTAATTTTCCTTTCTTGACGATGTATGCACGTATGATGTATCACTGACAAATGGAAAATAAGAGAAAGGGTTCAAAAAATCTCCACACATCAAAATTACATACATCTTATGAGCATTATTCTGTCCTGCATTTATCTCTCCTTGTGGTACATCCTTCTTTTCCAACTCTGCTCTTTCTTGGGTTCCTGTCTCATCATCTTTTCGTGACTTGGGCTTCTCAGCTTCTTCAAGAACTTTAGATGTCACCTCAACTTCCTGACCAGCAGGTGGGATATTGCCATCACTAGCCATTCTGAGTGATAAAAAGCAAATAAATAAGTAAAATAAAGAGAGCAAATAACATAAAACAGAGACAAGGTGTTAGGGATTACCCATGTCCAAGCACCATGCCTGGAATACTGAAGGAATGGAATTAAAATTCTTCATGCTGTCACAAGTTAATGACTAGACATGGGGTTTGCCTGCTAATTGGATTTACTGAATGCTTATAACTCGTAACTACAAATAATTATAATGCCACCATTAATCTACAAACTTAACAAACCACTGCTCAAACACTAAGTCTTTTCAGTCTGCTAAATCTTCACCAGCTGTTGCTTGCTAGTGGCTCTGAACAATGTCCTCTTCTATTCACCAGTCAAGTCAAAGTCAATGTTACGTTACAACCAACATCAGTCAGCCAGTCTGTCTTGGTGTCAAGGCACATCTGGTCCCCAAGACGAGATTTTTGTTACTGTCAGACAGTTGCGAGTTTGTTCATGCGGGGTGCCCTCTCTGACGAGAGGATGGGGCTGTCATTTACAACTGCTGCTGACCCTTGCCAGCAAAGTCATTCTCAGGGTTTGAGTCCTATGGGACTCAAGGCCATATTTAACTGTCTCACATTCAAGACTACCTTAACATGGAGGGCATTGTCTCCCATATTCACAGCAGGTAGACAAAATAATGGAAACACTAAGAAATGGGGGAATAGCATTTGTCTGGTTGGCTATATTGAAAGAAATTCAGTTGACAACACTGAATGTTGTTAACCCTCTGTAGTGCTCATGTCAATGCATTAGTGATTGTGTTAAGTGACAGTCTGTGTGAAAGAATAAAAAATTGGAGAAATGCCTGATTTTGAAAGAAGACAGACTGTTCGTGCGCATTTAGCTGGAACATCTGTGACAAAAACTGCCACATTATTTGGTGTATTGAGAGAGACAGTTTCTAATGTTATATCAGCATATGCATATCATGGGAAGACAACATCAGCAAAGAGGAACAGCGGGTAAAAATCAACACTGACAGAAAGAGACTGTCATACATTGAGAAGGGCTTTTTAAAAAAATCACAGAAATACTGCAGCATGGGTCACAGCGGAACTGAATATTCATCTTGAAGACCATCTTTCCAAAAATCTGCCTGATGTGAGCTTCACAAATCCAACATCTATGATAGGACTGCAATTGCTAAACCTCTAATTACTGAAATTAATGCTCACATTCATAAATGATGGTGTCCTGACAATAAAACCTGGATATCAGACAAATGGAAATGCACATATGATATAGTCAGATGACTCATCCTTCACACTGTTTCCTACAACAGGTGGGCTGGACATTGTGGAAAAGAAAAAAGTCTCTTTCCCCTGCTGGGAGCTGATCATGATTTCTCAGTCATCCAGCAAACAGTCTAGTCACTTACTGACCAAGCTTCCGCAACAAAATTGATACTGTTACATAAAAGTAAGAAGGGTCAAATTTATAAAATTTTATAGACAGACTGTACCCAAATGAAATCAAATTTGACAGAAAACTAAACCCAAAAGAAATCAAATTTAATACAAGACTGTGCATATAGGGTTTTCATATAGGGTGTGACAGAATACTTTATTCGATTCTTGACCCATCAAGGAGACACACTAGAAACCAATTCAGATAAACAACTTACACTTAAAGTTATCATTTTTGCCTTCATTATAAGCCTGGATTAAATTTGAGACCCGCACTGAAGACAGAATCTGGAGGAAAATTCTTAAATTACATGGTGGCAGACTAAAAGCTAAAACTAAAACATCTTATCATGTGTACACCATGAAATGAGATAGCTGTCACATGGTGTGGCTAGACTGTGCCTGGATGACCGAGGAATGGGGGTTTGATCCCTGGCTAGGGCAAGTGATTTCTTCTTCTGCATAGTGTCCAGCCTGGCACTGAGGCCCACTCAAGCCTCCTATCAAATGGGTATGGGGGGGATTTTTCCTGGGAACAAAGCAGCTGGGGTGTGAAGCTGATTGCTATTCTCTATCTCTATCTATCCAGTACCACAGCTAAGAATGCATAGAGCTACACATCCACTCCACCACAGGTTTTCATAGGGTGCTCCTTAATGAAGTACAGAGTTAAAATGTATACAGCTTTCAGAAGTCTGCTAACCGTGCTCACAATTATGAGGAAGCAAGTGGATGCATGGCTAGACAAATATCTTTCCTTCCATTGCTCTGTGAAGATGCAAAATATATTGTAAAAGATTAGTTAAAAAATATAGCAAATCATCCCCAAAATAGAAGTTGCAGTACCCTAACAAGCAAGCTACATGGTAACGAATAATTATACTGAGTGGGTAGAAATTTCAGTTCAGAATTTTCTGTTTGTTTCTAAACCAATAACATAATAACATTTTAATTTGTATGAATCTTACATTGAGATTAATATAACTTTTGGGACAGATTTACAATACTAGAACTATGTACAATTGCACTCACACAGCACATCTGTCAAATCTAATGCAATGTTTAATTCTATTTTATGACTCAAAGAGAAATACAATGTAAGGAAAGCTAAAACAAACAAAACTAAAACTATATAACTTGTCACCATATCCACACTTGTTAGAGAAATATAAAACCATGTTCAAACACAGCAAACATCATTCTTCCAACTTCATTACAAGTTTATCTGCAACTACGCTGAAACATCTTGTGAACGAAACAGGCATAGGTAACCCAACAAAAGTATATATCAATCCTTGTTACCTTTTCTTAGAATAGTATTCACTGTCTTGTCTTGCTTGCATTTCCCACTTCTTAAATACTTTTAAAACACAATTTTGAGCCACACCTGCTGGAACGCCCATTTTATCTGATGGATCTTTTTGAATTAGGTAGAAATCTGTGCTGCAAGAGAAATTTTCCACCTGTTAACACGTATGATCCATATTAGTGAAGTGTACGCATGTAACTCCCTTGTACTGTACAAAAGCCATTCAATCTTGACACTCTCAGGTAGTGTTATGGCAACAACAGTTAACCTTTTCGGTATTCTAGTTTTAATTTATAAAATTATTCTACAAAGTGCCCACATTATCTTAACCTATAAAATGTTCAACAGTTGAGGATCATATTATTTAGCCCCTCAGAAATAGAAACCCTTCAATGTTACTATTCTAACAGCTCCTGGCTTGTCTTCTATGCTAGTATTATAAAATATAAAGCTGCCTCTGGTCTCCACCTTGAAATTGTGCAGGTTTTTCATAAATTCTCCATTAACCTTATTATATTTGAATGAGACCAAATGACAAACAACGCTGCATACACACAGCATGCCTTCGCCGCTTATTACGGAATAAAAAGACATCATAAGAGGTAATAAGACGTCTTGCTTTTCCATGATTAGAATATGTAATAAAAAAAGCACGCTGCCCTTTTCATCCATTACTGCTACAGTTAAATGGTGGTTTCACTACTCAAAGCATAAAAATAAACTATAAATATTAAATAACATTCTTATTCTCATACTCGGGTTGGTAACTAATGAAGTGTATAGGGATAAACTTTTATATCAAAATTCCTGAACTAAACTTCCTGAAATGTCAATAACAGAACAATAGGTTAGGCAACACAAAACTTTTCCAGAAGTATGTCAATTAATAATTCCATATACAGAAATTACCAGTTATATAAGAAACCAAATACGGCATCCAGAAATGGCATTATATGGCCTTTTTCTTTTAAAACACCTAAAAATATTTCGTCGTACTTCGACATTGCCATGGTGCACGGCAAATACCGGTGATTTAAACAATGTAATTTACAGTAGCAGCAACATATGGTGAAATGCAATACCACCAGGCAGACTTCAGTGAATATTACTTTTCAGCTGATCTGCTACTTCGGCTTCCGCTACTATTCTCAATATTATGATACAAAAACAGACTGAATATTTATGTTTATGTACAGTTTTAGTACAAATGATGATCATCAGCAAGAAGTAGGAAGTCTCTTTAGTGAATGTGGCAATGAATTGGGTTGGTGACACTTATAATTCAACTTTAATCACCATCTGTTGAGAGTATTCTGAACAGGGGTAAGAAATTGGATTAAGGGCGCCATGACACCACGGTGCAAGGCTACTGCCATCTCTAAGCATCCTATATTAACTAAATTTTAAACGGCCGACAGGGCCGAGAGCACACTCGGTAAGAAGGTATGCTAACATTGCAACTATTTTGAGTGCTCCCCCCAACCCCCCAAATGCTTTGAACGCTAGACTAGCTATGAATACTTTTACAACCTAATCTCTTGTACTGCAGAGGTTTCCCCTCGACCAACCTATTTCTATTTTTGAACTGTGTTCAATATCACTAGTCAAGGAGGAAGATGTTGGCAGGGCATGTTGCACGAATTGGGGAGGCGAGGAATGCATATAGGATATTGATGGGAATGCAAGATGGAGAGAGACTACTGGGAAGACAAAGGTGTAGGTGGGTGAGCAATATTAAAATGTATCGTATATAGGATGGTATCGTATGGATTGGATTGATCTGGCTCAGGATAGGGACCAGTGGAGGGCTCTTGTGAACACAGTAATGAACCTTCGAGTTCCATAAAAGGTTGGATAATTCTTCAGTGACTGCCCAATTGGCGGGTTCTCAAGAAGGGCTCAGCTACATAGGTAAGTTCAATATCACTTCACCCATATCCTTTGGGTTGGATTTGAGTGAAGTGCCATTAAATTTGGTCCCCCACCCTTTCCAAGAAATAAAAAATAACGAAATAAGAGCCTCTGCAGGTCTGGAGCACTAGAGATTAGGTTGCAAATTATTTATCTGGAGAAAGTTTGTCACCAGTGCCTGGAAAGTCATAACCTTTCTTTCACATGAAACAGCTCTTTAACCAAAGGCACTGAACATTGTGAACTGTAACATACATGGAACACTTGTATTTAGGAAAGCTGAAGGTGGGGAAACTTGAAAGAAAATTCTGTTTCCATCAGAGATACATACCGTATACATATACACATACAC